TGTTACAGATAGTAGTGAATGGATAGCATAGGACGTCAGCACACTTTTTAAGAAGGAGGTTTGAGATACCATCAGGTCCTAAACATCGGGATTAATTCAGTGACTGGAGACATCTTCGGACATCAGTTTCAGCGAAACTAGGAACACGGTTATTCTTTAAACCCGTGAATAGAGGGAGCATTGCGTCGGATGACTGACGTACAAAAGACTTATTTAAGTCACAAACATCCAGCTGATTATCGCCCCTAATCTGTCTGTCGCCTGTAAGTTCTTTAAAGAGTTTCCACATACTTGAAGAGTTTTTACAAGACAAGAGTTTTTGAGCAAACATAGTGTTGAGACGACTAATCTCGAGGTTTATCAGACTATTTAGCTTACGAACTTCATTAGAGTTTTTCTTTTTGTACATTCTTTCTTTCACCCTTCGTAGTCGTTTTAGTTGTGAAGATGTAAGTCGATCAAAACTTACAAAAATAGTTTCAGTGGGACAACAAATATCAAAACAGAATTTAAGGTAACAAGTGATAACATCAGAAGTGATTTCTAGTGAGTCATCTGTAAATAATTTCCAGTTGGTCGTATGAAACATGTCTTTCAGGTTTCGGATATTTACTTCTGAGTAATTCCTATATTTGACTTTCTTGCTTTGATTTAAGAGTGTAATCTTCCCATGCTTTCCATATACTTGAGGTAAAACAGGAATTATACAGTGATCCGAGCTAGACAATGGAACACATTTACGAGTCACATATATACCTACATCATTAATGAAAACGAAGTCTAAATGAGCATCCAGCCGAGTAGGAAAATCTACTACATTTTGGTGACCTAGCGATGTAAGGAAACTACAGTCACATGAATTGAAATCACCACATACAACCGAAAGTGAATCACTGAAGGCAGTAACAGCGAACTCAGTAAATTCATCAGCGAAGACAGATAGCGCAGATGATGTGCAGTCTGGGGTCACATAGATATTGGTAACATAAACATATTTGTATTTATTCAGATATTTTGGACGGCATCTTAGAGTTAGACAGTTGATAAAGTCATTTGAAAACTTGAAACACGCAAACGTAGATCGACACCAGTTCACGTTTACAAAAGTAGCTACACCGCCGCCACACCTATTTTTATCGTTTGATCGATCCTGACGATAAATTTTGAAATCATGTAGGGATACTAGGCAGTCGTCCTGTAAATCGTTTAACCAAGTTTCTTGAATTGTGATGACACCACAATTACGATACATATTTTGACTTAGTAGGGATTGAAGATAGTCTATCTTGTTAATTAATGATCGGCGGTTAGAATTGAGCAATTCGGGAATCGACATACGATTAATGTTCATTCTATTCAACGTATATCGCCAACCACCGCGATGTCTTTTATTGTAGGTTTTTGTAGCTTGTGCAGCGAAAGGTCGTAGGCTTTTCATAAACGCGCCTGTATAGGTTATGCAATTAATGGACATAGTGAGAGGTTAAAACAAAATAAAAAAACAGATAACTTGTTGAAATAACTAGATGGCAGAAACAGGTAGCCAAGATATTCAAGCAGGCCGCCATGTCGTCCAGGTCGAAAACCAGCCTGGTTTTCTCTAGTCGGCTCTTCACAAGCTTTGGTTAGACGTCGAAGTATTATTGAAGCTAATATTTTATACACTATATTAGTCAAAATAATTCCTCTGTGATTGTCACAAGAGGACTTTTGTCCTTTCTTATAGACTGGCTTAATCAATGATCGAGACCAGTCAGATGGGATTACGTAGAGTTCCCAGATTCTACCTAAGACCTCAGTCAATCTCGCTGCTAATACTGGACCGCCTTCCTTAAAAATCTCAGGGGTAAACCTGTCAGGACCTGCTGCTCTCCCACGCTTCGGATTTTCTATAGCTTTTTCAACTTTGTAAAGAGTCGGAGGACTTACGTTAACTTGCCATTCAGGTAGACTGGAGATCGTGGGAAGCCGAAGTGTGGCTGAAGGCAAGTTGAACTGATCCCTAAAGTGTTCTGCCCATCGATCCAATCTCCTGGATTGAGAATGAATAATATGTCCATCTTTTTCGGAGATAGTTTCGCCAACAGTTAGGTTCCTAATACCGGTTTCCTTAACAAGTCTGAACAGTTGCCTGCTGTTACCTATTGCCACTGCCTTTTCCATCTCTCTTGCTCTTGCTACCCACCACTGTTCACGATCTTTGCGTAGGCTTCTAGTCAGCTTACGCTTAAGCTGACTCAGCTCTTCGTTATGTTCAGAGCCAGATGGAATGAGTTTTCGAGCATTTATCAGTGCGGTAGACGCTGCTGAGATCCAGTGTTTCTCCCTAACCTTATGATTTACCGTACTTGCAGACATCACTGCTGTTTCTACAGCTTTTTGGATGTCATTCCACGCTGCCTCGGGGTGGGTATCACTTACATGGCTGCCTAACTGTTTGTCTAGATGTTCCTGAAATATACTCTTAGCTTGACTATCATTTAGTAGGACCCTAAGGGGTTTCCTTGCAGCGGCTTTCCTACGTACAGTAAGACGCAGACAAACACGTTCGCACTAGAGCATGGTCTGAGTCTAAGCATGTGCTCCAGAGTGAGCGACAGTCTTCTATCGAGCCCCTCCATCGGTAGCTGATAGCGATGTGATCCATTTGGTTCCAACGTTGGGACGAATTAGTGGGTTGCCATGTCAAAAGATGTTTTTCCTTATGCTTAAAGTTAGTGTTTGCAAGAAACAGGCGGTTATCTGAGCATAGCTGCAACAGACGGTCACCGTTATCTGTTCGTTGAGCCGCGACACCATAAGATCCACCCAGGTGTCTTTCCCTTTCGCACAGTTTACCTACTTGAGCATTAAAGTCACCAGCCACTATTACTACATCTGAACGCCTAGCTTTTCGGAGAAGGTCGGAAAGCTTTCTTTAAAACTCATCTTTTACATCATCTGAGCTGCAGTCAGTGGGACAGTAGGCAGAGACGACGAAGAGGCAAAGACGAGTGTCCCTATCTTTCCGAGTCCTTACTGTTCCGTTTAGTCGGATAGCACATAAACTACCGTCTACTGGGATCCAGTCTAAGAGAGCTAGTTCTGCCCTAGGACTCAATGCTATACCTACTCCAGCGAGGCCACGGGAAGCAGCATCAGGGCTCCCAGATACACGGAGCGTAAATCGAGTTGGTTTGTTACTTTGACATGGTGAGGTCAAATGAATGACACTACTCGGATCCTATGTGCGCGTTTCGGAGACGCAGCACACATCGATGGCGCGAGATTCTAAGGCGCTAGCTAAGGAAGCCTGTTGTCCTATTTGGCACTGTGTTCGGACGTTTAAAGCTCCTACGTGTAGTTTAGAGCGTGGTTTCAGGAGACCAGGAATAACATTCCACGTACTCGAATCGTTTGCACTAGCGGGGCGAGGTGGTAAAGGGACCTGAGAAGGGTTGGTCGTGGAGATAAGAGAGTTATTAGCAGGTGTAGGAAGGATTTGAATGTGACCAACTTGGTCTCGTGTGCTGTTACGTGTATGAGGGCTGATGTCACTTCCCGGCTGCCCACACCGTGGAAGGGTATTTTTTAAGGAACCCGAAAAGGAAATCGGATTAGTGTTGGTCTTGAAGACCTGGAAGCGTGGCCGCAGAGCCCAAGGGACAACTGCTTGAGGCCGGTCGCGCACGGCCTTTTTGTGGGTTTTCAATGTGTTGGCTCCGTTCTACAAAGGGCCTTACTGCCGGAGACGGAAGTCCGTGGGGTAAGGTGCGACATATTTAGGGCCAACCTTTTCTAACCCCTTCCTTCCTTATGGGAAGGCAGCATCGCTGCAGATGCTGGTTGTCCGAGGGAAACACCTTACTGCTGTCACACCTCTGTACACTCAGCAGTACGACTTAGCCCTCAAACCTTGAGTTGATGCTTTTGATATTACCGTTCTCCAACCGGCCTGCCTGTTATGGTAGAACCTACAGGAACATATGTTCCAGCCAATATCGTTCGGTTGGGTCATCACGACAGACAAGCCCGACCACTACCTCAAAGTAGAAGCTACGGTAGGGGAAATGACTCAGAACCAATCACAATGACGTAGGTGTATACACTTCCTGTCTTTCCTAAAACTGAGATTAAAATCGCTTCATATCTTTCTTTCTACGAACTAATTCTTTCTTCCTGTACTATATCTTTATACACAATCTTTCTTTTATACATTACTACCATTGAAGTAACTACTATGAATTCGGTGTTCATCATGCTGTGCTAATGCGGTGTGGCAACTTGGACCGATGCATATATGTGCGTGGTCCTACGTTGTAGCCGACTGAGAATGGAAACTGCAGTTAATTTATAAGTGAACTAAAAAAAATCGCATTATTATACCGGTATGTCTCATAACATCTATGTACTCATATGTTGACGAAATAAATTACAACAAATGAATCAAAACGACTTTTAGCTACCAAATGAGTACATCCATTTATTAAAACGTGTTATCTCTATAGGCAGTCCTTACTTCTTAACAAATTCTTAATAGCACAGTTCACCTGTTTACTGAAGTATATCATTTTAATATTCACTCTTTTTAGTTGCACATGCTATGAGTGAGCCTTCCACATTGTCTTCACAACTTAAGCGCAATCCTAAGAGAGTAGAAACGATATTGATTTTCCTCATAAATCTTCCAGAACTATTAATTTGCAATGGTCATATTTACAAGTTGCCATTGTTGAGAACATCACTTAGGAGAAAAGTCATAGATCACAGTGTAGATAGAGTACACCTAGAAGCACTTTATAAACTACAGTATGTGTAGAAGAACCACGCATTTCGTTTGAGGGCCAGTGATATTATTACGCTGACTAAACGAAAGTGAATCAGATTTTAAATATGCTGTCAGATTGTTGAAAGTCAAGTGTGTAAATTACTTAAGAACTAATTATGAGCTGCCTTTTAACGTACTAAATGTGATTTTGCTACTTGTTCCTTTCGATAACATTGATTAAATTCAGAAAGCATAACAAAGAAATGTGATTATATTTGGGACTTCATGGTAACACATTCACGAAGTTACACACAGTTGGACGTTTTGAAAAGAGCAGATATGACAGTCATCAATGTGGAGTACAATAGTCTGCACTTTTTCTTTGTATATCTGAAAGGATTTTTGATACTACAAACCAACAGTTAATATATATTCAAATCGTAACGAACTTTTGCAATAATGAATATTAAGTTCTGATGTTAACTGAACACAATATTTGTTCTCAAACAACTCATCTATGATTCCAAATAATTTTAATGAACAAGTCTAATAAAATATAGACCAATGTACACAAAAGCAGAAACCCACTGAAGTTACCACACATTTTTCAATCAAATTAGTTTCATCATCAACATATAATCTTTATTACCTATAACGAGTTAACTTCTTAAAGATTACGATATCAAAACATATGAAAAGAAGACGTACATTTAAACGCAGAAACTGAACATTCCCAAAAGCAATATTAAGTGAAACTAGTAAAACATCTACTTGGACAATTGAACTACTAACATATTCAGTTGAATACACTACTTCTTGACCGCAACAGTAATTAAATATTCAAGTGTAACAAAGTTTCCTACGTTAACGCAACGGAAGCAATTTATTCGGTCGTCGTAGAGTCTGCTGATTCGATTAAATTTTACGTTCCGTGGTTACCTGATATTCTACAATATAAGTAATGCTCTAAAATCCACCATGACGTGCGATGGTGGCTGGCATAAGCTGGAAAAAAGTTTAAAAAAACGATACCAGTTGACGAGGTCACTGACTTTTAAAATGAGCAGCGTTTATACATGTAAAGCTCCTGGGCGGAGTCGATGCAATCAAAGGTTTGATACTATACCTGGCATAACATGATGTTTATCGGACTAATTCAGATGTGTTTTGAGTTTTACTACAATTTCACACTTTTTATTTCACGAATTCATTCATTTTCGTATTATATACTCCTCAGGTCACCAACATTAGTATTCTGAAAACGTTGCTTTACATATATCACTATCCTCACGTGAATTGTGGCATCTTGGACCAATACACGATTGCACCAGTTACTAGGTTGTTTATGATACATAAATGAGTAGTCGTAAACACCCCAAGCATTCATCCAATAGCCCATGAACACGAGTCCCACAATAATAGACCTAAAATGTCGGTAAAGAAGTGGATAATAAAACTACTAAGTAATCGAGAAATCACACGTCAAACGAGGATTACGCAACGACAAAAATAGCTCACAAGGTCTCAAAAATATGAATATGTGAAATATAAATTATGTCAAAATATGGAAATAATTAAAAGAAGTAAACAAACACCATAGAAAGTAACCTGGTAACTAGAATAACAGCAAAATAAAAGTAAGATTTCTTTGTCATTCATGCATACAACTGTCTTCTACACTGAACCCCTACATCAAGTATATGTTTCAAATGGGCTTGTATATCGGATTCTTCTTCAAAAACATTTCCAGAACGCACTTTTTCTGAAATATAATTAGCCAATTTACTCAAATCATCTAGAACATTTGAAGCTTGTAATGTTTTCAAAGCCGTGATATGTGAATTCAATTTCTCATTACTGTTGCTTTCCAATTCAGATTTAGATTTTAATGCTTCAAACAACCAATCAATCAACTCAGGTACACATTTTCCAGGTGCCGTCACTGGCCAACCATTAACAATTTGAGCAAATAAACAGGTAGCTGCTACAGTTGCAGTTGTTGCAACTTTTAAGAAATCATTATTAATTTTGGCATTACATACTGATTCCTTGAGTTGAATTTCAACTTGAATGGCTAATTCATTAGCTTTAAGTCGTTCGTCTCGTTCTCGTTTATTATTATGACTATTAGGTGAATGGAATACGGAAACAGTCAAACCGAGAACTTCAACTGATAAATTTTTTATTGAAGTATAAAATGTATCAAGTGATGTTAAATTATTTTGCCCAACTTTAAAGCTGTCCAAAACTTGCTGTATAGCACTGCTTATTGAAACTGCATCTGGTAAACACGTCTGTTTTAACAGTTCTAGAAGACGATGATACGATTCAATGCTTAATGATTCTGTAATATTTGATTTGACATTGTTATTTTGTGTTAAATCGGAAGAGTTTGTTTTTAAGAGATCATTTTTACTAGTTGTCGACTCAGGCCATGGAATTCCGAATTCATAGGATATATAATCACATAGCTGCCGAACAATAGGCATACCATAATTTTTCAGAAGATGAACTAATAATTGGTTTCTTAGGATATCACGATTTATTGAAGAGATTCCTCTCTCTAACAACTGAAATATTAAATGAAAAGATCAGCTTTAGACATAAAAATAAATGTACATGATAATAATGACAACTATAAGAGATTGTTTACGGTCCCTAATTTACATTGTTTTTATTAAGCACGGAGAATATCTAATTGTGTGAAATATCTGAATTATGATTTTGTGGGAGGGATGCACTACGAAATTGCAATAAGAGGAAAAATATACTCTACTTCGTACCGTTCAAACACCGTGAAACCGCAAAACTTTATGTAGTGTTACATAGATATTCGTTCGGTCGCTGTTAAATTAAGAGCTTCATTAACGAACAGATTAAAAATCCCAAACAAACGAAGTAACCTATAAATTTCAATGACAGACTAAAGAGATACTGGATTATGCCGAACCCTAAAGGAACATCTGAAGAAAACTGTAGGTTCATGAAATACGGTTACTATAACGAAAATTTAAAACATTCATACAAAGATAATCTTTATGCTGATTTTCTCTGGGGAACCGAAAGAATGTACACAATGAATAGTGTTTCGGTTAAGTTTGGGGAATCCTGAGTTTAAAAACCTAAATCTTTGGGTGAAAATGGTAATTACGTTACAACATAATAAATTTGGAAACACTGATAACTGTATTCCCAATATAAACACATTTGTCTCGAGACAAATATTCATCAAGCAAGCTATTTGATGCAATTTACAATTAAAAGGTTCCAAACGAAAACAAAGCAGCCATCTGACATAAAGCGGTCTTCATTCAGTTAGTTGTAATCAAAAGCTTGAAAATTTTATTACCTGTAAACTGAGGACCATACTATTAACCACTTCCTGTGTTTGCAGCTTTTTCTCACGATCGAAGTTGGCACCTGCATTCGGTGAAATCAGTGAGCCAATATGTCTTATAAATGACTGTTGTAAAGTAGATTCCAACATATCAGCAACCAGGTCAACCATTTCACTGGGCACATCATTTGGTAACTGTGAAGACAAAATACTTCTCACGTCGTCCATAAGAACATAACGAGTAAATAGATCTTTAGTTGGTGACTGAGAATCACCAATCACACTAGAAAAGTTTTCTGGATCATTAGTGGCTGATGAACTACCCGTCTTACGTTTACTTGGATTATACTTTTTCTTAACATTTTTGGTCTTAATTTCACGTGCGCCGAAACCAAATCCACCTTTGGACGATGTAACTATTTGTTTGGGTGTATTAACTTCTACGGATTGTTGTTGAGTTGGAGTTGACAGGATTGCATGATGTTCGTGGTGGAAAGCTTTCTGAGCTTTTTTCTTTAAATACGTATCAAGAAAAACTTCACAGCTTTCAATAAATTTGTCAGCAATTAAATATGTGTCAAGTAATTTCACAGGAGCATCTTTTAACAGAGGGTTAACTAGTGCCGATCTTTCATTTGAATCTAATCCGTTTGGAATATAATGGGATAAATCTATCCAACATACGTCTCGGATTACCCCTGAAATGAGGGATTTTAACTGATCAACTATTAATGGATTGACCGTAAGACCTGGTAGATGTACAGCATTTGGAAGCTTAGTCTTTAAATATGAATCTGGATCAAGAATATTCAGTCGCTTTAAATAGTTCCATTCAATATATCCATTCTGAGAGTAAAATGAATTGATGTATTTATCCTCAGCATAAGTATAACATTTTGGAACAAAGCCACTACGACCGGCAATCAGATTACCATACAGTCGACCAGTACTGATAAGACTAGAAACAATACTATTAATTAAATTTTCAGGAATTTGAAGCTTTGAGGCGACTGAACTTAAAGTAACAGGACGGATAACACCTGTAAAATAACCTCGAATTTTCGCCTTAGTAGCATTAAGGAAAGTATCTGTAAAGTACTTCTCTCCATATTTATGTACATGAAATAAAGTACTTTGATACTCTTGCATAATACTCGATATGAATGTTGTAGGCAGATTAAAGACGATAGTTAGTTCACCAATACTAGTGTGGCCATGCTCTTCTAGTCGATCAAGTATTTCATGAGCTACGCGTCGAACATATGAACTGTTGACAACTTCACTAGGTATACTGATCAAACGGCAAGGCGACTTGTTTTGTGCATCTAAGATTATCAATTCAGTGACTCTTGATTCAATGATATCGAAATCCACATCAAGATTTGATGCTAGTTCCGTAAGTGTAATTCTACCAGAATGTGCTTCAACTTCATCTCGGATTTCCTTATCAAGCTCGTTCCGAGTTAAATATGATCGCCCATCAGTTGAGAAAACCAGTTTTAATCTATTCACAGACATCAAATGTCGTATAATATCGACCCATGTTCTATCAGATAGTTTACAGATATTAGGTTGATTTTGTGTTTCTTTGAGTTTGTTAGCTAGTTCTCGCACCTCATCCCAAGTTGCCATATTGTATTAAAAACCAAAAGTTACGTAATATTGCTGGAATGTCTATAAAGGGAAAATAGATAAACTGCATAAAATCAACTGATAGAATAAGGTTTAAATCCAACATGCAACCAGTGATGTATAACTAACTTTTATATCACGAACAGATACAAAAACTAACGGGTAGGATTGAGCAAGACGTTGCACAGATTTTTATGTTCATGAAGACCCCTATAACTTGGGAACCATATGGCATCCAACAGGACGGCAACCTAGTCTCAGTAGAAATACACATGGTTTGTCTGCTATTTATGTTAGTTACATCCCTGATGAGATATTAAACTGCTAATTAAATGGTAAGTAAATAAGCTATGTAACATTGCCCTCTACACAACACCACAGTATAAGATTGCGATAATGAAGGTGGAGGAAGTTTATACATTGCAATCATCTGGTCTCGGGTCAATACAGAAGTGTGCCAGGACTAGGAACTAATTGATGGTTCAAAATCCTCAACAACCTACCGGATTAAACCTATTAACATCCTACCTTCAGAGCTCTCTCTTAATCCTCTTAGAGACTGTAGATTTCTGTGCTATTTCAGTATAAGACAACATCGATCAATAAGCAAGCGAAACGAGCTTGCGCATGACCGATGAACTTAGTCGGATGATTTTAGAGTTGATAGATATACAGAATAGCGGTATTTTTCCTTGCCGAAAAGACTTTGTAATTCCGATCGTTTATAACCCGTCAAGACTTTTCAGTTTGACTGAATTATTATCAATTAAAGTATTTTAAAAATATCGTTCTTACAAAAGGTTTAGAGCCTGTGTTCTTTTTAAATATAGCAGCATTTTCGGTTATTGCACATTTCGGACTTGACTGTTCATAGTATGCTTTTATTTTAACCCATCTTTTTCTGATTACCAGCTTTTGCCTATGTGACCGATTCTCTTTCAGTCTATTTGAAAATCTTCGAGCGGTGACTATATAGTGTAAAGAAAGTAATTGTTAACGCCCAGAATGTCGATACCCGGTGGATAGTGAGATGCAGTGTAGTAAACGTACCATGAAGTTTGCACTAATCAAATACCTGCAGTGTTAACAAGTTATAGTAGACCCGGATGTGTGTGGCTATGCCATCAGTGCTGCTTATATGTAATTAGCTTGTTATCAGGAGCGATTGAAATGGTGAACGTAGCTATGAATGTTATCCAGTGTTATGCACCCATCAATGATTGCAACGAAGACGATCAAGATCAGTTTTATGAGGCTGTAATCGATCACAGCGAAGTGTTCAGGAAACGACCTGACAGTTTTGAAGGGAGACCTAAACACTGAAGTCAGAATGGGCAATATTAGGTATGAAGATATCATGGTTTACAAGAAAAAAAAACGAGAAAGATGAGAGATTTGCGAATTCGTGTGCATTCAACGAAATGGTTATAGGTAACACTATATTCCCACACAAACGCATACACAAGCATAAATGGGTTTCACCGGATCACATCACGGAGAACCAGATAGATCATATTTGCATCATTGAGAATTTGAGAAGGACAATGGAAGGTGTGAGAATCAGGAGAGGAGTTGATATAGCTTCAGGTCACCCCCTGGTTGTGTCCAAGATCAAACGGAAGCTAAAAAACACTGGGCAACTGGGGAAACAGCTATACAAAGGTTGAATACTGCCTTCCTTCGACATATTGACAAAGTCGGCGAATTCAAGACAGCTCTCAACAACCGGTTCCAAGCCTTACGAGATCTATTTAAAGAAGTAGAAACTATTATGGAGGACAACTAGAATACACTGAAGCAAACAAGCTAGTGAAGAGGAGAATTAGAGCTGACAAGTAGAAATATGTGAAAGACCTAGCAACGACAGCGGAAAAAGCCTCAACAGAAGGAAATATCAGACAACTATACGACACAATCGAGAAACTAGCAGGGAAATATTGTAAACCAGAACGACCAGTCAAAGACAAAGAAGGCAGGTCAAATACTGAGATTCACGAACAGAGGAACGGGTGGGTAGAGCACTTTGAGGAACTCTTAAATAGACCAACCCCACTGAACCCACCCAACCCTGCTTCGGTTTGGGCACCCGGGCAGTATCACAGCCCTCATACAAGTCAATTGAGATTCGTGTGGCGCATATATATTTGGTGCCTCCTTGTACCAATATCTGTGTTAAAATAAATAAATAAACCCACCCAACATCAAAGCAGCACACACAGACCTTCCTATAGCTGTCACCCAAACAAAGATCGAAAAAATCGGTATGAATATCAGACAAATTAAGAGTGGGAAAGCAGCAGGATCCGACATAGAAGTAACTGCAAAGATGCTCGAAATACTAATCAGAAAGATTTGAGAGGAGGAACGTCAGTCAGTCAGTCAGCTGCAACGTAGGACCAGGCACGTATATGCATCGGTCCAAGTTGCCATACCGCATTAGCACAACAAGATGAACACCGGATTCATAGGAGTAGTTAATTCAGCGGTGGTAATATATAGAAGAAAGATTGTGTATAAGGAGATAGTAAAGGAAGAAAGAATTAGTTCCTAGACAGATATGAAGCGACTTTAATCTCTTAATTTAAGGAAGACAGAGAGTGTATACACCGACGCCATTGTGATCGATTCTGAGCCATGTCACCAAGAGTCTCCAACCAATGATTACGATAGTCACGCGGACCTCAACCAAGTAATCTGCATCTAACAACATGGCTCAGACCAGAAGTTAGTGACTTCAAGCACTGATGCCACGTTTTGGTTTAACCGCCCCCAACTTTCTTCCAGACATACCCAACACTAGTCAGCATTGCGCGTCGTGGTAATCGGTGTTCAGGCATACGCAACACGTGGCCCAACCATCTCAGTCGATGAAGATTCATAACCTCATCAACTGATTTACCATCATTCCCTAATACCCTGCGTCTAACCTCACTATTACTTACCCGGTGATCCCAGCAGATACCCGCAATATTTCTGAGGCACCTGTGGTCAAATACTAGTAACTTACGAATATCTTCCACTCTTAAAGGCCATGTTTCGCAGCCGTATAGAAGGACGGAACGAACTGCCGCGCAGTATACTCGTCCCTTAATTGATAGACGGATATCTCGCCTTCGCCATAGATGACGTAAGTTGGCAAAGGCCAAGCGAGCTTTTCGAATCCGTGCTGAGATTTCGTCAGACACCAACCCATTAGGGCTGATCAGACTTCCAAGATAAGTGAAGTTGTCAACGCGTTCGACTACTTCACCCCCTATCCTTAGTTCAGGTGTTGATGCAGACCAGTCCTGAAGCAACAACTTGCATTTAGAGTGGGAGAAGCGCATCCCAAACATCCCGGTATTGTTGCTCAGTGCTACCAAAAGACTCTGCATTTCATCAGCGTCTTCACCAAACAGGACTATGTCATCTGCGTATTCCAAGTCAATAAGTGGACCTCCTGGTAGGAGATCAATACCCGAGAAGTCAGTCGATAAGAGCGTTATTTCCATCAGGATGTCTATGATAAAGTTAAACAAAAAAGGAGAAAGTGGACAGCCTTGACGGACCCCACTTGAGGTTGCAAAAGCAGATGGCAGTTCGCCATAGGCTCTGACCCGACTAGTAGTGTTCGAGTAAAGAGCCTTCACAAGGTTTATGTACTTCTGAGGTACGCCTTTCAATGACAGACACTGCCACAGAACCTCTCGGTCAACAGAGTCAAACGCTGCTTTTAAGTCAAGGAATACCACCATTGTCGGACGCCGATAAGTATGCCTGTGTTCTAGAACCTGACGAATGGTGAATATGTGGTCGATGCAGCCACGACCAGGTCTGAAGCCAGCCTGATTTTCACGTGTTTGCAGCTCACGAGTTTTAGTTAGGCGTCCGAAAATTATCGAAGCTAGTATTTTAGATACTATATTAGTCAAACTAATCCCTCTGTGGTTGTCACAGGATGATTTTGACCCTTTCTTAAATATTGGGACGATAAGTGATTGTGACCAGTTAGATGGAATAACGTCTAACTCCCAGATTTTAGCTAAAATATTAGTCAACCTAATCGCTAAGACTAGACCACCATCCTTAAAGACCTCTGGGGCCAATCCATCTGGACCAGCTGCCCTTCCTCGTTTCAGATTAGCTATAGCCTTTTGAACTTCAGCTAGAGTTGGGGGACCTACTTCAATGTTCCATTCACACTGTCTGGGAATAGAGGGTAGTTGTAGAGTAGCTCAAGGCCAGCTAAACTGCTCCTTAAAGTGTTCCGCCCATCGTTCTAAGCGTCTGGACTGGGAGCAGATGAGAGTGTCGTCTTTTTCCGAAATGGTCTGACTTACACTTGATTTATTAATTCCAGTTTCTTTTATTAGTCTGTAGAGTTGTCTTGTATTCCCTATAGCCGCCGCCTTTTCCATCTCTTTTGCTTTCGTTGCCCACCACTGCTCACGATCATTCTTTAGACTTTTGCTTAATCTAGATCTGATTGCTTTACGCTCTTCATCGTATTCAGAACCTGATGGGATGAGTTTGCGAGAATCTATCAGTGCAATAGACCTTGACGAAATCCATTGGTTCTTTGTAACCCTGTGGTTTAACTCACTGGTAGATGTCAATGCTGTTTCCACAGCTGCTTGTATAACTTTCCAAGCAACATCTGGGTCAGCCTCGTTTTCAGAACTATCTAAGTGTGACCTCAGTTGTTCCTGGAACCTACTTTTGGCTTTCTCATTACTCGATTCGGTTCTAATGAGTCTTTTTTGTGTGGCTCTTTTGCGTCCAGTGAGGCGCAAGCAGATGCGTGCTCGTATTAGTGTGTGGTTGGAGTCCAAAGAGGTACTCCAGAATGAGCGACAATCTTCTATCGACCCCCTCCAACGAAGACTGATGGCAATATGGTCTATTTGAGTCCATCGTTGATTTGGTGCAGGGGGTCGCCATGTAAGACGGTGTATCCCCTTATGCTTAAAATTTGTGTTTGCTAAAAATAGACGGTTGTCTGAGCACAGTTGCAGCAGACGATCACAATTATCTGTTCGCTGAGCCGGAATACTAAAATACCC